TTCTTAAAACCAAACTATTTTATTGGTATTAAACTCAAACTATTTATTGAATTTTAATTCCGTATTCTTAAACTTCAAAGCCGCTTATGAAATTTGCTTCTCATACATAGTTTACATACATTAAATTTAATACACACATAATTTGTAAATCACTTAATCACTAATCTGAGTGAAAAATAAAAAAAAATTTATTTAAGGAACGTTTATTAATTAACACTAAATTATACGAACATCAGGAATAGTTTACCATAATAGTGCTAATTCATCTTTATTATATTTTCTGGTTAATAACTTAAAGGTTGATTTACTCAAACACACGACTCAACACAGAAAAGACGGAGAAAACACTGGTAATATTAAAAATGCTATGGATACCGAAAATCAAAATTCTGATGCAGTTAATGTAAAGACAAGGATCACTAAAGCAAATTATAATTAAAAAAAAAAAAAACCAAATTCACACAATCACTTACAATTAGAAACAGTCGCAAAATGCAAAGCAAAATAACACAAGTTTAGATACAGTAAACGTTAATTGTAATATTTTTCAATGATCTCAAAACATGACAAAGCATATAAATTATCGGATTAAAAAAAAAAATTCGATGATTTAAAACTGGAACTGCAAGATACTTGAATCAAAATCGCACGTGCATAAAGACAGAACTGTCTTTAATGAACATAATATAGGTATAAAAAACTGCCGAGGTCTCTCTTATGATAATGCTTATGTTACAAATGGTCCATTAAATGGGTTGCGAGCGCTTGTAAATTGTAAAAATGAATTAACTGTATGGATCCCATATTTCGCACATTCATTAAATTTGGTTGGCACAGCTGCAATGGATATTTGTTTAGAAGTCGAAAATGTTTTTAGTTTCTATAAGAAAATTAACTGTTTTTTTTTACTGACTTGATGGATTGCTATGAGCTACTTTCTGAACGATTAGAAAAGTGTATTTCGGCTCATTATTATGCACTTATTCTAAAGAGAGTCAGTACCACAAAATGGGAATCACGAGCAAAAGTGGAGCGATCGCTTTATAAAAGATATAAAGTTTATAAAAGTTTTCTAGAAGACCTATCCACCGACAATTCTGAAGCAAAAGGACTGTATAAAACATTGGATACATTAGAAACTGGAATTTACATCGTATTATATCAAAAGCGTATACAAAAATAAGTGTACGCCGAATCCACTTGATCACGGGCACAGCCAAGATGCTCTGCTAAAATACACAGAGAAGTTTTGAAAAAAAAATTTATATCCAAGTAATTAATAAACTTGTGACGTAGTTGACTCAAAGAATTTCTACTTATGAGAAAGCTGAGAAATATTTTGGTTTTCTAAGAAAGTTAACTAGTTTATCAATTGAAGAAACGAAAGTGCATGGTTTGAAGGTATTAAAGTTATACAAAGATGATCTGGAACAAAATTTAATAAACGAACTTGTACAATTAAAAAAATTTTACAAAGAATTTATAATCACTAACAAAAAAAGTGATAAAGGCAAATAGTGTGCAGAGGCGAAAATTTGTAGATTGATATTCAAAAATGAGTTACGAGAAATTTTTGTGAAATATTTATATTTTGCTGGAAATTTATCTTGTTCTATAACCAAGAATTATATCGGTGAAAGAGGATTTACAAAATTAAATTACTACTAAATAGATTAAGTTTTTCAATGAGTCAAGAAAGACTTAACGATCTGTCTCTTATGAGCATCGGAAATGATTTACTAAAAATAAACAGGTATGATGATATAGATAATTTTGCAGAAAAAAGATCTTGTTAAGTTTTTTTGTAATATATTCTTGTTTTCTCTTTATAGATTTAGTATCAGTAATAGGAAATAATGCCTATGTATGGATTCTATTAACTAAGGGTCACGCAAAGACTGTGACGATACAAACCAATTAATATCTTAAAATAATTTAATCGTAACTAATAAATTTAAAAATTAAAAACAATACATTTTGTGAAATTGAATGCTGTGTTATCCAAAGAAAAAGTAAAACGAAGTTCCAATGAGTATTTTTTTACTTTTTCCAAAATATTTAAGATTCTTAATCTTAAAATATTCTTGAAACAAATTATTTACTGTTATATACATGCATATATATATGCCCCCTCCAAAGTTAGTCTAGAGTTACTTATCAAGTTAGTTCAGCGCTGCACCACACGAATTCAAAAATATATACTCCTCTCCATGATCCAATTGTGAATATATTATTTTTGCGCCCGTTCTATTTTCTACGTGGCATTTGTATTGCTTAAAAGCTTTGAACGCGTCACTCTTGTTACGTAAGAAATAAACTCCACACCATCGGGTAGAGCTATCGATAAAAAGTAAAAAAATATCTTTTTTTAATAATAGACTCCTTAGATGTCGGATCACACATGTATGTGCTTATCATTTCTAATATTTTCGTTTTTTGATCGGAGCTATTTTTTAAACAGTAATCTACAAACTTTGAAATCCAAACGAATATCACACGCATTTAATCGCTCATTGTTATTTAAACACTTATCACTGCACTCTCTCTCTCTCTCTCTCTCTCTCTCTCTCTCTCTCCTGCATACACCCACTCACATCCATACGGTCGCGTTTTGATAGATAAAATATACTTCCAACAGTATTATATTGTAAAAAATTTTTTGTAAATGACTAATTAAGACAATATACAAATAGTACATCAATTTCTTTTGAATTCATAGTTATAAAATTAATCTATTTGCCTTTAGAGTGGCGGGAAAAAAAAGATAAAATTTACAATGTTGTACAACTAAAGGAAATTATTTTTGAATCAAAAATCAAGTAAAATACGTATCAGTAATTTAAATTTACATTTTAAAATGCTAACTATATGATGAAGGATAAAGAGGTAAAGGAAATCTTTTAATTGTTATTATAAGTATTAATTGTATGGCATACAAATCTTTTTAGTTATACATATTCTGTAATAAATAAAATAAAGTCTTGCGGGGGGCTTCTAAAACTTGGCGGTGAGGGATTGGTGGGACTCAAAAACAATTTAACTGTATATAAATAAGGGAAAGAACAAAAGAATTTTTCCTAATTCTACAAGAGGGTGTTGGGGCAGGGGGGGGGGCAAAAAAATTTAGCGGGGGAAGTGTCGGAAGCGCTTTTAAAAGAAGTATTTAATATAGGAAGATAAATTACATAGTTCTTTTAGCACGTGTTTATTTGTGTGTATGTTTGTCTGTGATTTTATGAAAGGAGGCGTAGAGATTTCTACGTTTGACCAAATTTTCGTCAAAGTTCATGTTTGGCCAAACGTTGGCTAACAATGGGCTATGAGAAAATCCCAAACTTGGATTTTTGCTAGAATATTTGACTCAAGTTTAGCAAATATTCATCTAAACTTCTAAAAAATTAATTTAATACTTTAATATTCCAATAGACTGCATACACGACATATCGAAAAATTCGAACTGGAAATGGTCTCGAATCTCATCGAGATCGAGAATTCCATCGAGATTCCGCGTGCGACACAAGCACGCTTTACCACTCAGCTATAAAGAGACGGTACAAGCTATGATACGAATCGTCTACATATCATACCAATACTATAATTATTTTTTAAAGTCATGATGTAATCAAATTGACTTTAAAATTTTTCCTAAAAGTTTATGTGAATTTATTCAGTTACAGTTAATTGTATAGGAAACAATAAAAGTACGCCTTAAATTAGTAGATTTCATGATTAAAACGTTTACTGTTGATCATATGCTTGACAATACACTAAGAAAATATTTTTTCTTATACAATTAATTGTAACTGAATAAATTCACATAAATTTTTTTTAGAAAACTTGTACAGTCAATTTTATAACATGAAGACTTAGAGAAAAATGGTAGTGTTGGTACGATATGTAGACAATTCGTGTAATAGCTTGTACCATCTCGTCATAGCCGAGTGGTTAAGCGTGCTTGTATCGCACGCGAAATCTCGGTGGTCGAGGTTCGATACCATCTCCTGCACGACTTTTTTGATGTGTCGTATATGCAGTCTACCTATATATTAAAGTATTGAATTAATTTTTTAAAAGTTTGGATGAACATTGGCTAAACTTAAGTCAAAAACTTCAGCAAAAGTCCAAGTTTAGGATTTTCTCATTGAGTAAGTTTGGCCAACGTTTGGCCAAACGTTGGCCACATAAACTTTGGAGAAAGTTTGGCCAAACGTAAAAATTTCCACGTGGGAGACTAATGAAAATAATTGATAACACACTCTAAAGACAACATCAGACAACGTTGTTAGTTGAAAAATTGTTGCTTAGAAGATATATATAATTGGGAAAAAGAGTTTCGATAGCTTAGTGGTGAGTGTGCTAACCTCTTTGCGAAAAATGCTCGAGGTACCCAAGATGCCGAAACACTACTCATCCAATTTTTAAAACAAATTATCGATTTTTCTGGTGATGTCTGGACCTTCAAGAGCATCCTTTTAGAACGAAAGCCAACACCTGGCCAGCTCATCGGGTAAAGTCCCTGTCAGTTATAAAAAATTCGGTACAGCGAGTTAGATAGTTTATTGGAAAATTACCTTTTTATTAAGCTCAATAATAGTTAGGATGCGCATGACACAATTGCTGCGCCCTGTACATAGTACCTAGTAGGATGGATGACCAAGTCGCCTGAGGGGAATTTTGCAAGGGGCCCACACATAAGACTCGCATTCTTGGAGAAATATGATGGTAATTACGATAAGAAAGGTAAGGATTAGAGACATAAGATACGTAAAAACCCTTGGGTGTACGTTGGAATTTTAATAGAATATATATTATTAAAAAATTATACATATCCGTAAGATAGAATAAATTAATCATACAGTATTTCTACTTTTTACTCCAAAAAAGAAAAATTCTCTATGTGACATAAAAAAAAGTAGCGATAGTTCAAAACCAAGATTTTTAATTGAAAAATATACTTATTGATACTTTCTATACGTGCTAAAGCTAATTACAGTACTTACTTTTAATAAGTACTTGCAGAGCCTTGTTATCCAGAATCCTATTATCAGCGTGATAAGGAATGATGGTAGTTAAATACTGAAACAAATTATTGACATTTGCTTATAAGATGTATTCACATTATAAATATTAACAAATTATATGTCTTTAACATTTTGAAAGATTAGCTGTTATAAATTTATATCTATTAGATAGTGGTAGTTGCTACAATTAATAGACGTGATAACAATTCAATTAAAAATTTTTTTTCTTACAACTAAGAAAGGCTCGTTAAATGACGTACTAGAAAAATAACATGAATATAGAACCCATACATTTATTTATATTATTTTTATCATGTTTTCTTTACTACACTAGTTGTACTAAACATTCGATGAAATTCTAAATACTCAAAGTGCAAAACTAAGGCCTTAGATTTTTATTCACTATGACAAATAACATTACTTATAATAATCAGGTACTTTCTCTAAATAAAGGCAACATTAAGAGTATGAAACCATTGTTTTAGGTGGTGATTAACTATAAACAGAAGTTACTCGTTGAAAAAAAAATCTCTTTATCGTTACTTTATTACTCACAGTCATAATTTATTTTTTATTTGAAATATGATGTATGGCAAGGCATAGTACATGTATATAATAACCCTATGTATAAGTGAGACAGAAAAAAATCCACAGAAACATAAAGAAAAAGTTAAATGTCTGCGAAAAAAGTATTTGTTTGCAGTGTGACTCTATAAGAGAGTTGCAATGACTTAGTGGCTAGCATACTAGCTTTTTAATCAGAAAAACTTTAAGGATTGTGGATTCAAGTGGCGTAGAAATTTTTTTTAATTTCTTGCATGGTCTGTTCGAATAGAGTAAGTACGCAAGATGTCATAAAATTAATTGTTCGACTTTAAAGACAAAAAGTAAAGCTTTTTTGGATTATGCTTGAACCTCAAGAGTTTCATCTATGAAAAAAGCCAACAGCTGACCAGCTCGTAGGTAAAGTTATCTAAAAGGAACTTTACACTAGGAGCCTGCACAAAAGACTCGCATACATCAAAAAAGAGAAAGGTAATCAGGCAAGAATTTTAGGATACGTTAAAATTCTTGAATTATTATGCGTAGAATATAATGTACTACACTACAATATATTGACTCTACTGTTAACACTTGTTAAACTGCGTAAAATACAAATTTGTTCTAATTAATGAAGGAATTAGAAATCTTTGATTTAATCAATCAAATATTTTAAGTATCGTATGACAAACAGAACACTATAGCTTTGATTCTTATGTAATAATAAAAAAAAAAAATTAACATGCAATTTTTTTTAAACTAAACATCAAGAAAAGAGCTGGAGTATGCCTACAAGACAAAAAGTCCAGTGCCTGTCCGACTTACCGACAAACAGACTAAAAAACTTTTTTACTAAGTCTCGTTTTTTTGCTTTTCTTCAATATCCTTGATTTTGGTGAACTTTTAACGAGATAACATGATTACATTCCATTTTGTGTTTTCACACGTTTACAATGAGCCGTTGAGTGGTCTATTTCCATAATTTATGGAGATAAGAACGATTGAATTTTTGAAAACCATATTATTGTCACATTGAAAAAACATATTTTGATTTATGAGTTTAGTAGTACGTTATTTTACGTAAGTACGTTACTTTCATGAAGTAAGTGTTTTCATAACATCCTATGTCATATACTTACCCTATAATAAAAAGAGAAATAATTTCGAATGAAATCGTTTATTCGTGATGTTATTGGTTCAAGCTGAGATCACGTGGTTATGATTAAAATGATGTTCGAGGGTAATAAAAGTAAACATAGTTCTACTATTAATTCGACCTCATTAAAAAAACTAATGTAATAGCTTATGTTCTTATGTTTTAAAACTAGAAGTAATTTAGTACGTAGTATAAGTTTTTATCATAGTAAATGTTAATTTTTTTTGAACATTAGATAACTAAATGGCTATTCCAATCCTAACACAGATCAATTGGCGTGACGCGCGGGTATATAATTTTGTTAACTGCAGTCATCTTACTCAGTTACTTACGTAATAAGTGTATAGCGAGGTCAGTATACATATGACCATGGACATACTAAACAACTGGATGTCGTGGGGGCTGGTTGTTGAAGCCGTTGAAATCTCACTCCCCCCTTTTTTTCTCATGAGTCGTAAAGTATTGTGAAAACATTTAAGCAATTGAATCTAATTTTGATAATTTAAAGTCATCTGGTTGCTTTGGTCACAAGTTAAGGCTTCATCATGTTCTTTGTTTAATAATAAAGATGGAGATTAAATTTACTTCTAATGAGGAGTTTGATAAACTGCAGGATAAAGACCAAGCAGTGTAAGTAAAATTTTTAGTTGTGTTATAGGCGTGTGCTTTTATTTTATTTTTTCAAGTTGTATAATCCATCTACTACTGTTTCAATAGTGAAATCATTGGCTACGTCGATAAAATTGTTGCTCCAATCGTCGTAGGACAAACTAAAAAATTTAATTAATTTTAATTTGTTCTGACAAATGGCAGTAAAAGAATTGTGTGTTTGATGTGGGGATTGGAGTTGATAAATCAATTGAAAAATGAAGTGACAATAAAGAAGGTAAAAATTTTCTTGTTTTTAAATCTTTTTTTAATCTTTTCAATGTTTGAAAGTTTTTTTTTCAATATTATAGATCATATATCTGGACGGAGTACACTGCAAAGCAGTAGTTCCTGCCTACTATAAAGAAGCAAAAAAATTGGTTGCATTTGAGTTGATTGTTGAAAAGAATAGTATGATTAATTATCTTAGAATCTACCCAAGAATTGTTGAAAACGATTCTGAGATTTTTCAAGTACGAGTACAAGATACAGCTAATAATATCGGAAAGCTCGTCAGTAAGTGTCCTCGATAAACATATCACCTTCACTTAACCGTTTCTTATTTTTATAAATTTTTTTTTTTTTTTTTTTTTAGTAAAAATAATTGGATTAGTCAAAACTCAAACTTATTTAATGAAAAAAAACAATGGAAATATGACGTATGATAGTGGATTCATGACTGATGAGCGCAAATGCAAGATTAATATTTAAGTGGCCCAGTTTGAACGAAGCTCTTTGCGAAAAAAGCAAATCATTAGTGTAACTGGTACACTTAAGGAGCCACCTACAATTGGTAAATAACTTGGTTCAATAACAGTTGGCAAATAACCTACAAATACTTTTGTGTTACGCATCTGTCTTCTTACTTATTTACCATCTTGCTATTTGATGATTTTATCTACATGACTCTAATCAACCGTACCTTTAATTTTCAGGTGGTAAATTACCATTCTTTGCAAAAGCATGTGCAACAACGTTTCAAATAACAATATTCCAGACATGTCACTATCAGAGCTTAGAAAAGGTGTAATAACTCCAACAAAGCATGTCACTAAAAAATAAATAATTTTATGAAACTATATAGGTTTTCTTACATCTTTTTACTTTACTACGATCTTTTAATTTTTTTTCTCATTTAAGTAAAAATTATATATTGTTGATGATTCAAATTTAATGGTACAGATTTAATTTTTTTATGAACAAAGACTGTTTGGATAAAATTAGTTACATTGGCCACTTTTAAATGTAAAAAACAACCTTGAAAAACATTTTTGTCGTTAAAATCTTGATGAAATATCTATAACTGTTTTGTATTCACAAAGTTTGTGTATTCAAAGTGGAATAATATTAAGTGATTTTTTGATCTCAATACTGAAGAGATAAAAATCAAGTTATTTATTTCATATTGAATTCATAGTGTGATAAATTATTTGATTGATAAGTTCTTAAGTTCTATTAATAAATAATAGACGAGTATTTCATTACGTCAATTATTTATAGTATATATTTGTTTGAAACATTGTTCTCAAATCTCACTATTTCTTTTTATTACCTTAGTGTGAAAGATTTTGTATTTGATGATGAATGCTGTAGAAAATGTACGCTTGAGTTACTTTAATATTTATTAGTAAGATTTGTTAACACACGGTCAATAATATCTTGCAATTTATAACATTCTCAAGATATACTGCCACTAAGCATGTAGTTTTTATCATCCCGACAAATGTCAATTACCTCAAGTCCATATTTAATATGTGTAAATTGTGGAGTTTAAAAAAATTAATTGTTCAACCAAATTTAAAATAAAGCTAATTTTACATAATACATTTGTATTTTATTTGTGATACAACATAATCATTTTAAAATGCATATATTTTTTTAGGTCTCTCTTGAACTAAAAAAATTTAACTCGTACTATTCTCTACCCATAACCATCTGCTACTTTACATTTTGGTATTAAATCTTAAAATTAGGCCATTCAATCAACACGAAAGAATAAGATCCCTTGTCCCTCGGGGGTGGTATTACGTAATTTTTATTTGTATGTCAATCTACGCTCGCTACAACATACCAACCGAACTAAAGGTTCATACAGTGAAAAAAAGTTAGGCAATATTAGTAATATTATCCCTGAAAAACGAATTAGTGTATGTGTTTATCTCTCGCTACTTCATTCATGTATTATATGATTGTAGCTCATTTTGTCAATTTAAGTATATCTGTGACATAAATGCAGATAATGTTTGTCATTGCATTGTGAGTGAACAATTTTAAAGGAATTAGTGATTCTAAGAATAGTATTTTTTTACAACATTAAAATTAAAGTACAGGTATGTTGACGTTCCAAAGGTGTGTAACCTATAAAAAAGTACTTCAAGGCATGCTATTTCCGAATTTTTTTCTCAAAAATGGGTAGTGCATTACTATTTATACATTTATTAATTCATAATACGAACGTTTTTACAGATTCACTTCTCATCATTTTCTTAAAAAGATTGGTTATTTATGCTCGCCTACATTTGAGATGTTAAAACCATGTGTAATTGTGTTTGTCCATGGTACCTTGATTACGTATGCAAGATTATAAATATATAACTTAATATTTTGTCTTAGTTTGAAAACTGTTTACTATGTGCAAGTCTTTGGAGAGGGACAATAGAACGACAGTGGAGCTTATCGTGCCATACTCCGCAGCCGTAGTATGCAAGCTG